CCAGGAGAATTATCAGTTCAGAACCAAATAAGACACATGTATAGACACATACTTGTTTACAGATCCTAAACAACGGGCATGGGTTCTAATTATATAAATCATGGCTAAGGGGGAGGGGAGCAACTTCCACCCCCAGCTCCAGATTAGAGACAAACAGGAAATAATTGTTTCATTGCCTTTATTTCCCTTGAGAGAACTATTTGTTGATAGCAGGCAATGGGAGTTAACCCTTGGAGGAATAATAATAATAACCACAAAGCTGCACTAGGAATGTGGCAATTCACAAAGCTTTTAGCCTTACACGCAGGCATATAAAGAGCCTCCCCCTTTCACTTCCTCTTTCCTATATTCTTCCACAACTACACTCTGTTTCATCATGTGGATGGACCACCATGCAACTAGAGAAAATTGCATTATTCCCAATTTTTTTTTTACAAAGAAGACTGTAATGAGTAACACTTGTTCATATGTCAGGTGTGGATGTACTTTTATAGAATAATTTCTCTGCCCTAGGATTGCAAAATCAGAAGTTAAATACATTTGTACTTTAGATATACATGTGGCCAAACTGCTTCCTTGGAAGGCACCTAGCATTACCCATTAGCAAAGAGTAAGTTTTTCTATTTCCCCAGAGCCTCAGAATGTACACTGGCTTTTATTTTTGTAATGCAAGTGCCTGACTTAAGCTTTGATTACCAAGGCATCCACTTCAAAGAAGCATATCTCCAATAAATGCATTGCCAGCCACGTAACTAGATGAAGAGCCTGGAAGCTCCCCTTCCCAACCCCAGGCTCCTTTGTTCAGAGAACTTGGTTGATTTTTGTTTATGATCTTGATTGTGGTGATGGTTTCACAGGTAAATACTTATTTTCAAATTCATCAAATTGTATGTATTAATTATATACAGCTTTTTGTATGTCAATCATACCTCAATGAAGTAGTTAAAAAAAAACAAAACTGTGCTAGAAATCCTAGTCAATGAAATAATCAATATATACCACCTTGTATATACCACTCATAGGAATTCATATTATGTGCACCAAAGATATGCTCAAAAATTTCTGTAACAGAATTATTCAAAATAGCTATCAACTGGAAACCACAAAAGTTTCTAACAGCAGTGAAATTCACTGTACAGCCACACAATGGAATACTATACAACCACAATAAAGAACTACTACTAAACGTAACAATGATAAATATTACTAGCTTTATATTGAGCATACACAGCCAGACAAAACAGAAACTAACTCAAGTATAAAAGCTACTAGAAGAAAGCATACAAGAATATCTTTGTGATCTTAGAATAGAAAAGATTTCTAAGAGAACACAGAAAACATGACACATAAAGAAAAAAAATGATAGATTAGGAATTCACCAAAATTAAAAACTTCTGTCCAGCACAAGACAGCTACAAAAAGAAACATAAGTGAACCACAGACTAGGTGAAAATACTCCCACCATATACATATCTGACAAATGACTGGCATCAATATGTATAAATATCCCCTACATCTCAATAAGAAAGACAAACAACTCAGTAAGATAATGAGCAGAAGACTTGAACAGACACTTCACAAAAAAAGATAAACAAATTGTCAATTAGCACATGAAAATTGCTTTAATCATCAGAGAAATGCAAAATAAAACCAAAATGAGATACTATTATGCACTCACTACAAAGGACAAAATGAAGATTGACAACACCGGCCATTGGAACAAACGTAGAATATATTTTTATAGATATATTTTTTCCTGATCCCTTTATTTTTTTGTTTTGTAAATAAGAGCATATCTTAATGTTTAGGTTGCTATAGCAGAATACCAAAGATTGGGTGCTTTAAACAACAAACATTTATTTGTCACAGTTGTGAAGGCTGGAAAGTCCAAGATCAAGGAACCAGCAGATTTAGTAGCTGGTGAGAATGTGCTTCTAGGTTCAAAGACAGCTGTCTTCTCACTGTCCTTCCACAGCTAATGGGGGTAGGGAGTACTCTGGGGTCACTTTCATATGGGCGCTAATCCCATTCCTGAGAGCTCCACCCTTGTGACCTAACCACATTGCAAATGCTCCGTGTCTTAACGCCATCACATTGGGCATTAGGATTTCAACATATGAACTTGGGGGACACAACAACCTATAGCAGATCATATACATAAGATCTACCTACTTAGCAACATTTTTATATGATACAATATTGTTAATGTTATAGACACTATTCCAGCACAATTTTGAATTGAAATAATAGAACTGATACCCTTGTTCTTGATTTTAAAAGGAAAGCTTTAGGTTTTTCATAGATACCCTTTACCCATTTAAGGAAGTTTTCTCTATTCCTAGGTTTCTCAGATTTTTAAAAATCAAGAATGGATATTAATTTTATCCAGTGTTTTTTTCTTCATATATTAAGATGATAATCAAATTTTCTTCAGCAGTCTATTCAAATGATGAATTACTATAACTGACTTTTGAATGCTAAACCAACACATTGTATAGTGAAACCTAGTTGGCTATGGTTTTAGCCTTTTTATATATTGTTAGATTTGATTCAATAAAATTTTGGTAATGATTTTTGCACCATTGTTTATGGGAGATATTGATCGGTGGTTTCCTTTTCTTATACTTTTATGAATTTGGTATCAGGGTTTAATGCTGGCTTAAAAAAAGTGGGTTAGTAAATTCCTTCCTCTCCAATATTCTAGAAGAGAGTTGGTATTTTTTCTTACTTAAATATTTGGTACAGTTCACACATAAGACCATGTATACCTGTTGTTTTCTTTATAAGATGGTTTTGAACTGCAAATTCAGTTTCTTTAATACATATTTTATATGTATTTCTTTTTGCATGAGCTTTGAGATTTTTGTTATACAAAGAATTTGTTTCATCAGAGTTGTCAAATTTATTGACAAAGTTGTTCTTAACTTATTTTAATTTCTTATTTTCTTACTTCCTTTTTAATATCTGTAGAATCTGTAGAGATGTCACCTCCCATTCTTAATATCAGTAATTTGTATCTTCTTTCTTATCTTTCCCAATTAGTCTGGCTAAAAGCTTATTTTATTGTTCTTCTAAAAGAACCAGTTTTGGTTTAATTAAGTTTTTCTATTTTTCTGTTCTCTATTAATTTTGTCATTATCTTTACTGTTTCTTTTGCTTATTTTGTGTTTAATTTGAACTTTTTCTTAAGTTGGATGTGGAAGTCATTCTTTTTCTCTAACATAAGCATTTATTGCTATAAATTTCCCTTTATCCACTGCTTTAGCTGCATCTCACGTATTTGGTATGTTTTGTTTTTATTTTAATTCCATTCTAAATGTTTTTTAGTTCCACTCTTTATTTCTTCTTTAATCCATGGGTTATTTTTGAAATGTGTTACTGAATTTCCAAATGTTTGGAATGTTTTCAGATGTCTTTTGTTATAAATTTTTAAATTTAACTTCATTGTGGTCAGAGAACACTCTTCGTGTGATTTAAATTCTTTTAAATTCATTGAGACTTGTTAGATTGCTCAGAAGTCATTCTTTATCATGGCCTCTAATGCTACCATGCCTGACGTGAGACCTACATCTCTTGTCTATACTATTCCAATAGCCTCATAATTGGTCTCCCTACTTTCACACTTACCTTCTTTCAGTCTAGTCTCAACAAAAGAACCAGAAGACTACTTTTAAAACTTAAGATCATGTAACTCCTCTGCTGATGACTTTCTATTGGTTTTTCAAATCATTCAGTTAAACCACAACCCTTATAACTGTCTACATAGCCTTCCACAACCAGATCCCCTGTTGCCTCTAAACTTCATCTGTCAATCCCAAAATACACTGTTCACTGTCTGATAATCAACCTACCCTCCTTCCTGTTTCTTTAACATGCCAAGCAGTCTCCCATCTCAAACCCTTCGCAGTTTCTACTAACCATGCCCTGAATGTTGTTCCCCTCAGATAAAAGCAGTAACTTCTTTCTCTGTTCTCCTTAAGCTGATTGCTTAAATCCCTCTTTCTTATGGAAGACCACCCTGACCACTAGACTACTTAAAACCACCGTGCCACACCCAGCACTTTGTCCCCCTCACCCTGCTTTATTATTGTCCATAATACGACACTCATTTTCTTATACCATGTGTTTTCTTGACTTTTTTAATTGACAGTGTCTCTCCTCTATAATGTAAACCTTTGCAAAGGGAGAAATTTTGACTCATCCTGAATAGAAAAGCACCTGGCACACAGTAGCTATGGATACAACTTTATTCAATGAGTAACATCCTGTGAATATATTTATCTTTGCTTCACTAGAAATGGGCTGTCTCAGTTTGAGCAGAAAAAAAACAGTCCTTCTCCCAAACTAGAAGAAAAAGAATATAGGCCATCCCACCAAGAAAAGTCCTGTAGAGGAAAAAAGACTTAGAATCAGGAAGTGTGTTCGTAGCTTTGATTGCCCTATGCATCTCTGTTGGGGTTTTTCCCCCGTGAGCGAAATAAAATTAAAACTTTGCATTTTGTTTAGGTTTTAGGAAGCTGTAAGAAAACACTATTAATCAGCCACCTCATTAGGAAAACAAGCATTTTGAACTTCCTTGCTTTGAAAACTAGGAGCTATACTATGTTTTTATAGCTCTGGGGAAAAACGGAGAAACTAAACTATACATTATTATTAATTTTTAGGCAACTGTTTCATGACACCTTAATTTCCCAAGCCACTCAATTCTGTAAACATTAAAACTGACTTAAATAAGGGGTCAAATGTACATTTCACTCTATTTAAAAAGTCATGTTTTACAACACATTTGACAGTGCTAATTTTCGACTTGAAGAATTTAAAGACTGCGAAGTACCTTCTGCAGCTCTATTTCACACTCTAACACCAGGGAGTTTAGGGAACCAAAATCAGGAGAGATTATTAGAAGGAAGCAAGAATTAAGGTTGGTCATTTACCACACATCTTTCAAGGAGATCTCTTACAGGGCCAGTGGATCAAATAAGAGCAAGAGTAGGGGACTGTCACTTGGAGAAAAGGGTCTCCCTTCTGAGAAGTTTCCCCAGTGCCCCCTTCATGTCCCTGTTCCTCAGGCTGTAGATGAAGGGTTTCAGCATGGGGGTGACCACCGTGTACATCACTGAAGCAATGATGTCCTTGTCATTGGAGTTGCTTGATGACGGGAAAAAGTACAATACCATAATCGTCCCGTAGAACAGAAATACCACAGAGAGGTGGGAACCGCAGGTAGACAAGGCTTTACAGATCCCCTTGATTGAGGGAAACCTCAGGATGGTGGCTCCAATGCGGCCATAGGAGACCAGAACACCAATAAATGACAGGATAATGACCAACCCCCCAACAGCGAAGATAAAAATCTCATTGAGGGAGGTGTCTGAGCAGGAGAGTTTGAGCAGGGCAGCGAGGTCACAGAAGAAGTGGGGGATGGTGTTGTCAGCACAGAAGGACAGCTGGGCCAGGAGGAGGGTGTGGGACAGGGCACTAGCACAGGAGAGGAACCAGGAGCCAGCCAGCAGAAATACACACAGCTCATCCCTCATGATGGTGGTGTAGTGGAGAGGGTGGCAGATGGCCACGTACCTGTCATACGCCATCACTGCCAGGAGAAGGTTATCAATACAACCAAAAAATATGAAAAAATACATCTGCGTTACACACCCCGCATAGGGGATGGATTGTTCCTGAGTCTGTATGTTTATCAGCATCTTAGGGACGATGACAGATGCAAAGGAGACGTCAGAGAGGGCCAGGTGGCTGAGGAAGAAGTACATGGGGGTGTGGAGGCGCGAGTCCAGCCTGATGAGCAGGATGATGAGCAGGTTCCCCAGCACCGTGGTCAGGTACATGCCCAGGAACAGGGCAAAGAGCACGCCCTGCTGCTCCGGGGGGACGGGGAGCCCCAGGAGGAGGAACTCAGACACACTGCTCTGGTTCCCAGGCCTCATGCTGCTTTACTCTCTGCTTAGATAGAAGGAATATTGGGAATATCCCAGATGATAAATGGTGATGGTGGCAATCACAGTAGTTATTACTTTCTACCGAGGAATTCCTCAGGGTATTTCCCACATGCTGTTGTCTGAATACCCCCCACCCCATCCCGTCCATCCCCTAGCAGAACAGGAGGGAGCCATCAGGGCCCCAATGGCTAACCGTATTCCCTTCAGCATAAAGCAGGGGGATGTACTTATTCATTTAATAACATGTTAGACACTGTACTCTTTCCTAAGAAAAATCCCTTCAGGGAGTTTACAATCTAGAAAGTAGCCTCTTCAAAAACTGGTTCAAAACAGTGTATCTGCAACTAGACTTCTAGTGGGTTCTGACTCTACCACCTGCTAACTAGTCCCAACAACTAGCCTCATTTTGAACCTCCACAAAATAAGCATAATAATGCCTATTTTTTTGGGAGGGGGGTATTGTGGACAAGTGAAATGATTCAATGAGAGTTATGCTCTTAGAACAGAGGTCATATAGTAAGGACACAGATATATCATCTAATATCTTCATGCCAGTGTGAGTGTGCAGACGAATCCTGGGTTGACCTTTAGGAACCCAACATTACCTGAAATGTGAGGTGGGCATTGGAAGGAGCAGGGGGCTTCTCTCAAAGTTGTGTCAACCCATGTGGGCTCTCAATGTCTCAAGGAAGATGCAGGGACACCTGTCCTAGACCCTGTGTTTAATTTCCTCACGGAACTTGACGAATTTCGTTTAATTTGGAAAAAGTAAATTATGCCTCACCCGTCTCCAGTGTTGTCCATTTCCCTGCATATATCTTCAGGGAATCAAACTGGCTCAGATCTGAGTATTTACATGCGGTAGGGCACCTGAACATTTCCCCGAAGACCTGAGAATGGGCAGATGCTGCAAGAATGATGGTGTCTATTAGAATTAATATTTACCTGATCAGCATGACTATTTCCCAACATCAATCTTAATATAATTGACATTTATTGAACAAGTACTCTACTGCACACCAGGTAAATTAAGGGATTTGTGTGTGTGTATGAAAGAAAGAGAGAGAGAGAAAGAGAGAGAGAATACACTTGTGCTGAAGCTAAGAGATATTAAGAAACCAGTCCATGGTCACATAACCAGTAACTGAGAGGGTCATCATTCTTTATTCATGTTTTCTTGATTAAGTCTCTAATCCTATTGGACATACCCTTTGTCCCCTTATTTAACTAAGCAGAAGAGCCGGGCCTTTGAGACATGTTATTTCAGTGTTTGAAAGAGTATTTCTATGCTGTTCCCTCAACCACCAGCTCAGGTATCTGCCCACCAGTCAATCCTACAGCCTCCAATTTGCACATGGCTTTCACATACTTTCAGTTACACGCAATCAGTATGTTTTATGTTGGCTGAGGAGAGAAGAAGGGAGCTTTTTCTCTCATTCTACTAATGTGAGAAGTGAAGTCACTTACACAATGTATTTGGTGGTGGAACTTAATCTCAAAGATAAGTCTTCTCATGCCCTTTTCACTGGAGACAGATGCTTCCCATGTCTTCATGGCAGTGTGGTGAATAGAGTTAAAGGAGCCATACGCCTGGGAGAGGAAGCTGACATTAGCACACAGGACTCCATGTCTGATAGCAGCTTCTTATTCTGTATCAGGCTGGTTGTCAGGGACACTAGGAGGGAGGAGGTGGCCTCACCCCCCTCCCACATCCCACTGAGGTCTGGCTGCTCATGGGATGATGGAGGAGTGAGAACTTCTGTAGGGGCAGAGTGAGGGAGAAGCAGAAAACCTGATATAGGCACAGCGTTGCAGTGTCAGGGGTGACCAGTGGAAAGGAAGCATTCATCTTGTGTATGAAAGGCAGTGTAACCTCCATTGTAACCTAAGGTTCGAGAATTCTTGCTTCGGCTTGCCGGTCTAGCTGACCCAGCATGTTCTCCTGTGTTCGTTACCTGAATGGAGAGTCAGGTAAGTCAGCCGCCACCTGGGGAGTAATTACACAGCTGGCTACTGTTTACTGGGTGTTTATGATGTGCCTGAAATGGACTAAACCATTACAGACAATACCTTGCAACAGCTGCTCTTATCCTTCTTTATATTTAAGGCTGCTGGCCTCAGAAAGATCAAATGCAAGGCCACAAAACTATGGCTTGGTAACCACCAAATTCTGAGGACACTGTAACCTGGACACTTAACCAGGCTACCATGCCCCCCAAGTGTAAAAATGGGCAAGGCTGAGGGCCAGAGTGAGAAATATTTAGGGCTCTGGATGCATTTTTGGAGCATCCAACTCCTAGTCTGATGGCCCCAGTACGGCTTAAAGAAGATCCGACTGGAATGTGCCTCACTGAGTTCTGTTCTGAGTCGAGAGGAACATCAGAAGGTGAGGCTGTTCGTACACAGGTGCACACAAACACACACACCTCATGTTGCTTTGTCAGTTTTAAACCCTCACTTTTCCTCCATCCCTTCTAGGTGAACTTAGTCAAGGTACGAGTTTCTTAAGTACAGTGCAGATACCACAATTCTCTGCAGTTAGTCAATCTCTCTCTCTGTCTCTTTGCACACATACACAACCCAACACATATATTGCTGAGGGATTATTTGCTGTTCTGACACATGAATGCTCCAGATGAAAGTAGTCAGGGTACAAATCTTTCTCACATGAAGTTTATAAATAAACATACAATTATGAGCAAAACACAATGCACAAAGAGTCATACAAAGAGCTAACAACATGTAATAGGAATGCACACACACAGACACTCCCTGGCACAGATATGTGAGTCCCAGCAACACACAGAATCACACACACAACACAGACATCACCACTAAGCACACGCATTGCTCAAAGGACACTTCTAGCCTTGCTTAATCCATGCACATCCCAGGTGGAGAGTTTTGTGTGTATGTCAGTGACACACATGTGTAGAAATACACAGAACACACATACCTCACCTCATACTCACACACACCCATTTATGGGAGCAGAATCTGGTCCCCCTGGCCTATCCTAGTCTTTCATAAGCTCAGATACTTTCTGCTCTGGGCTGTTACCTTAGTCCTCGCTTCCCTTCCAAGAGACCTGAGAGCCGAAGGACAAGACAGAGTCCCCGCAGCCAGAATGCCTTCACAGGCTTGCGTGTCCATTCAGCAACAGAGCAATGGGCAGAAGTATTTTATTTTACAGAAGAGAGTAGACACAGGGGAAAGACACCCAGGATCCTCAATAAAAAAAAACAGTCAACATGGGCTAATTGAACAATTCCTGCTGGCCTCTTGGGGAGAAGCCTGTGCAGGGGCCAGAGGGGCTGAGCCACTGGAGTCCCTGGGGACAATCTCTCTTATGCCACTGGCACTCTGAGCTCCTTTCTCTTTTATCTGCTGGTTCCAGGTGGGGGGCAGGGGTGGCATTCTGGGCCCCTTCAGTATCCACAATGATCAAGTAAGCCTGTCCCTGTATCGCAGAGCAAGAGTCCTACACAGGCGTCCTCTAAAGCTCACAGGTGCCCCCTACCTGGAAAGGCTCTTTAGGGTGCAGGCTGTACTTGCTCATAAGGTAGAAGACCCCATGGAGTCTTGACAAAGACACGTCTAGAACTGAGTTTGGACTCTGCCATTTACTGTTACTGTCTCCTGAATAATTCAGTTCTATAACATCCAGAGGTTTTAAGTGTAAAGTGGGGATAGTGGGGAGAGAACAGTACCTTCCTCATGAAGTGATTGGGAGGATTAAATGAAACAATCATTTAATTGCATTTTAGAGTTCTTATCACAGTTCCTGGTACATGAACACATTTAAGACATGGTAGGGTTTATCACCAATAATGTTTTAATCTCAGGGCACTTAAGAGCATTGAGAAATTATTAAACGAATTCATTTATTCATTCATTCATTTGTTCTTTCTGATAAATATTCACTAAAGATTTCATAAAGGTGACAATCTAGGCAGTGGAGCACAACAGTAAATAACACAGAAATATATCATCTGGCAGAGCTTGCATTTTCAAGAAGGAAGCAAACAAAAACCACACCAAACAAATCAATATGCAGCAAAATAAGAACACGAAAATCAAAACAGTAAGACTGGGACATGGTGATCGGTGAGAAGTGTCATGGAGTAAAACAAAGCAGCAGGAGTGACAGGAAGCAGGTCGGATAAATAGGAGGTCGCCGTGTCCTGGGAAGGGAGCTATGAATAAAAAAAGACTTCATTAGAATGGGAATGTTTTCATTAACCTCACACTCCAACAAAGAATTTAATAAATCCACAGAAAATGGACTAATACACGAAATCAACATTTTTGCGCTATCATTCTCTGTTAACCCACAGTCAGAGCTGTCACCACTGTAATTGCTGGGATGACTGGTTCAGACACTCTTCTCCTGTCAAAAATGCATGATTTCTCAAGCCCAATCATCCATCTTGAAACACATCTATCTGCCCCCACGTATTATGAGGCTCATTTACTCTACCCCAGAAAGTTGCAGGCATGCCAAAGAAAGAGACCTTTAGTGGACTTTTCTCTTTCCCAGCTGCCTGGTACAGGTCTGGACACATAGAAGGAGCTCAGTAATTACGGAGGTCAGATCAGTTCCCTTCCTGGGGACAAAGGGAGAAAAAAACTAAGTCAAAACCTAAAACACTGGCAACACCAGATGCTGGTGAGGATGTGGAGCAACAGGAACGCTCATTCACTGCTGGTGGGAAAGCAAATGGCACAGCCACTCTGGAAGACAGTTTGGCAGTTTCTTGTGAAACTAACATACTCTTCCCATGGGATCCAGCAATTGTGCTCCTTGGTATTTACCCAAATGAATTGGAAATTTATGTCTACATACAAATTCGCAAAGATGTTTATAGAACCTTTATTCATAATTGCCAAAACTTGGAAGCAACTGAGATGCCCTTCAGTAGATGAATGGGTACTTGTGGGGCATCTGGACAGAGATTCACAGGGTGCCTGTCTCAGTCCATTCGGGT